TATGCAAAGAGAACAATTTGTGTGAATGGCTGATAAAGAGAACATGAGTCAAGATGGCTATGATTTTGAGTGCAATGAGAAAGAAATAAGTGATGAATACCTGCACACTTAGTAGAGCCAAGATTATGAAGGGTCTGTATGTCACAGGAAGCACTGATGAAAGTCTGTAGGGAGCTGAGCTCTTAATCCAAAGGTGGCATCTCTTTTGCAGTTTGGAGTCACCAGTAGCTCTGTGGACCAAAGATGGACTATCCCCTATGTGATTTATGTACAGCCTCTTGAAAATCTGAAGAAGGGTTAGCTATGAGTCAGTTCTTACCTGATAATCATGAGTTAGTTCTGAACATATCACATTAAGGAAACTGAGAGAAATGGGGAGCTACCAAGGGATTTTAGAGATACAAGGAATTTTTAAAAGAAAAAGTTCTTTTTAAAGATGAAAGTATCATCCATTATTTTTTAAAAAAACAATTACTGAGGGCCTAGCTGGTCACTAGTACTGTGGCCTGAACAGAGCAATCATTAGAAGAGATGAGAATAGCCATTCGTGGTGTGTGTGGTGATGTCTACTCCTAAAGGCTGAGACACAGAAAGAAAGACAATAAGAAGAGCACCAAGGAAAGGGGGCTAAAGGACTAAGGGGGAAGGACAGGAGGGAAGGAGAGGGAGAGAAGGAGAGGGAGAGAAGGAGAAGAAGAAGGACAAGGGAATAAAAAGAGACCAGCAAAGGTCTACTTATTCCATTATTAATATACATCCTTTTGTATATATTGTGGCTAAACATAAAGTTAGAAGTTTATACGTGCTGTCAACTAGAAATAAGCCCTTCTATGTGTTTAGGAATATATGTCTACATAATTATGCTGATCTAAATTTATAAAGATCTATACAGATATCTATTAAGATGTCTACATAGACATATATTGTAACTATCATACATATAGTTATAAAAGTATAGGGTCAAGGTTATTGTTTTCCAGATGAATATAACAAAATACAGATACCTAGTATGTTTCTACATAGACATACATTGCAGCTATTATACACATATAGTTATAAAAGTTTAGTGTCATGTTTTGTTGTTTGTTTTCTAGATGAATACTTCAGCATACCTGAAATATTTCAGGCAGAAAAATGAGGAAAACATTGCATATAAATAAGAAAAAAAAATAAAAATATCTAGTGCCATGTCCTAATCTTTCATGGAAAACCAAACACTTGGATTGTATTATATGCTTACAAAATTGATCTTAAGCGCAATATGAGTCAGTGAGACCCAGTTATCTAAATCTTACACTGCAAGTATAATGCTGTTGTTGTTGATATGTGCAATCAAGTAGCCTCTGACTCATTGCGACCCTATGTACAACAGCCCTAAAACCTGCTCTACCCTGTGCCAATCTTGCTGTCTCTGACACACCTACCCCCATTACCCCAGTTACTGAATCACTCTATCTCATCAAGAGTCTTCCTCTCCTGCACTGTTCCTCTACCCTCCCAAGTATGACCTCCTTCTCCAAGAACTGGTCCCTCCTTACAAAGTGTCCAAAGTATGCCAGGCAAAGCCTCAGAATCCTGCCTCCAAGGAGCAGCCTGGTTTCACCCTCTCCAGGACAAACCTGTTTGTTCTCTTAGCAGTCCATGGTACATTCAATAATACAGTATTAGATACATCAGAAATATTCACCTACAAAATGTAGTTTTGGTTAAGAAAGAAAAGAAGCGGGTTTCTCTTGAGCTCAAACATTTTGTTGATGCTAAAGACAAGACTTGCTGTGGCTACATTTACTTTTTTTAAAGGGAAAACCAACAGAACAGAGTATTCATAAATATGTGTTAAATGAACAAATATTCTCTTTCTAACCTGGAGTTAAAAGAGAGTGATGACCCTCTAAGATATGAGAAGTAGGAAGGATGTCATAGTTCCATTCCAGAGTTTGTTCTGTGGAGAAGGTACCAGTTTCAGAATAAGGCAGATGACCTATTAAGGTATGTTAAGACACACAGCAGGTGGTTAGCAGGGCTGGGATCAAGAAGCAGTCCCTCCTTAACATCCCTCCAGCACTCTTTACCCACTAGGTGTGACATCGCTCATGAATTTAGGAGTTGTCTGTTAGAGAAGCTAAAAATCTTACACATGCAAAAATAAAAAGGATGAAAGTGAGTTGAGAGATAAATTTCAGAGTTTGGCTCAAGGAGCAGTTTATTTCTTCAAGTATTGAGAGGTCTAAGCCAAAAGGATCTCAGAGCTTTTAATAAGAAGCTTCTTTTATTCTAAAAAAAAAAAAAGAACAGTGTCTTTTCCTGGCCTAGCTGTATCCTATTTACATATCCTAAAGAAAAACTCGGGCCTGCTGGGTTTCTCTGGAGGCCTGAGTCAGCTCAGGGAGTGAGGGGGCTTAGTGCTTCCAGTTGAACTTGGTTCTGCATATCACACGTTATGGGGTCAGGGACAAACCAGGAGCACACTTAAGCAATTGAGAGTTGGGTTGGATCAGGGTGTGGGGAGATGTCTGGAAGCGATTTCATTCAAACAAGTGGTAGAATAAATCAAGATGGTTTTAACTAGAGAAGCCTCAGAGGAGAGTCTTGCTGATTCTACTTCTCAAATACCTCTAGCCTTCGTAACGTCTTCTTAATTCCACAACCACTGACCTCACCCAGGCCACCACTATAACTTATATTTCTGCAACGACTACTTAGGTGACCTTTCTTTCTAGCATCTTCTTTCCACAAATGTTTATCCATAGAGCATCTAGAGAAATATTTTTTAGGAGGAAAACACCATCACATACTATGCCCTGCAAAAACACATCATTGCCTTCTATCTTCAGTGTAAAGCCAAAGCCATCCTGATCTGGTCTTTATACATATCATGAGTCCAAGACAATCCACTCCACTTCTAACTTTTCATATTCTGAATTTATTTACACTCTTAATGCACTTTCTTCCATGTGCATTTTATCTACCAAGAGTGACCATCTTATAAATTAAAACTGAGGGACATTTATAAGAGAAGGATGCACCTAGACACAACTATTCACAGCAGTTCTATTCATAAAAAGTGCATAGTAAAAAAAAATAAATCCAAATTTCCATCAATGGTTGAATGGATAAACAAACACAATTGATCTATCAATGAATTATTCGTCTGTCATGAAAAAGAATGAGATACATTATAATACATACTACAGTGTGGGTGGGTCTTGAAAACAAGCTAAGTAAAAGAAGCCTGCCACAAAAGGTTATATATTATATAATGACATTTATATGAAATAACTAGAATAGGGACTCAATGGAGACAGAAAGCCTATTAGTGGATGTTAGTGTCTAGAAGAAGGCAGGAATGAGAGAAGACTGTTTAATGAGTGTGTAGTTTCATGTGAATGACTGAAGAAAGATTCCTGGAAATACACAGCAGAGATGGCAGGGCAACACTGTGAATGCACTTAATATCACTGCGGTATACACTTTAAAATTACTGCAATGGTACATTTTCTGTTATGTGTCATTTCCTGTGACAGACACATTGTCCTTACAGCAGAGTGAAAGAGACATTCATCCTCTCCTGTGAGAAACTGAAGTGAGAATGATGGGTGGAACAATCACACTTGCCAATTTCAGCAAGGCCTTTCTGACAAACGGAACTAAAACAGGAGGCCAAGTAAACAACTGAGGTGGTGTGAGGGAAGCCTCAGTGAGGGAGACACAGAGGGGTTTCCTGCCCTGGGTGGGAACTGCTGCTGGATGACCCTGGCTTCTCTTCCAAGTTAACAGACTTCAGTCCTGTGAGGCTGAACTGAGGGCTTCTCCCAGACATACTTCTTGCTTTACATTCCAGATAGATTTGTTCAGTGTTTTGAGTTAGACTCTCGGGTTTTTTAAAGAGTTATTCAGATCGATGATTAACACAACGCAGCACTGTCCTTTTTCTCCCTTACTTTCCTTTTTGATCCCCTCTCCCTTGCTTTATTCTGTCTTCTTTCCAGCCTTCTTTCTAAATATATAAAGGATAAAGAGGGAATCATCCCAAAACCTCAATGAGAAGTCAGACTGCACTCCTGATAATGAACTGCTGTAACAGTGTCCCACCCAGTCAGTGTTGGCATGTGTGGCTTACACAGAAGCACAGGGACTGGCAGCGAGGGGGTTCCATTTGTGATTTTCTGAGAGGATGGGAAGGGCAAGATGGAAGACTGAGAGAAAAGTAAAGTGTCTCTTTATCAACCTGCCTTTAGTGGGTATATGAGAGCCACAAAGAAAGATATATTGAGGAAGAAATCAGACATGGCAATATTCCACATTATTCTTTCCATTCCAAGCAGCATGGCATCAAAACCAAGGAACAAACCGCAACAAAAGACTGAGAAAAAGACGATTTCTTAATTTCTACAGAAAGCAATGGGTCTGACAATGGAGGAAACTGTAATCAAGCATAGATACCACTGACTCTTTGTGAGGCCTGGAAGATAGCTCCCAACAGGAAGGACGTGATCTTTGGTGGGGTCTGCCACAGTGGCAAGTATGACGTACTTTCTTCCGGTGTCTTCTAGGTAAATGGATCTTGAAAGGAGGATATATTGGTGAAACTAAGAATATTCACCACACATGTGGGGACAAGTCTTGGAAACCACTGGTGCTTTGAAGCCCACAAACATACCTATGGATGCTAATTTCACCTCATCTGGACCTGGAGACCACCAAGACTAGAGATTCACATGAACATGTACTCACTGTATCTATCAGGTGTGTGGCTGTAGGTACTTATTTAATATAACGACGGTTTTGAGTCTTCGTATGTAAAGTGGGAATGACATGCCTGAGATTATACAGATGGTCAAAAACGTCTGTTGAATGAATTATCAATATGGGGTGTTTAGGGTGATTTTACAGTTAAATTAGATGGCAAATGAGAAAGACCTTTAAAAGTCATAAAACTCTACTTAGAAAAGCTGCTGTTCACAAGCTCAAGCTGTAAATGAGCTTCCAGGCTGACTTACCTTCTGCTTCCCGTGGGCTCCAGTGTCCTGATGGGCCACAAGGCATAGGAGAGGAGGCATTGAAGGCATACTGCACGAGGATTCTCCCTTCCAGGCACAGGTCACATGCTGATCCCAATTCTCTAGGAGGCCAAGGAAAGAGGGAAAATGCACCGACTTAGGAACAATTGATTGAAACACTGACTTTACAACAGAGAAAAGACACAAACATCTACTACTCCCTTTCCTCACAACAAAATGTCAAAGCTCCAGAAAATGACCAGAAGTAAAATTTCCACTTACTGTCCAGAAACAACCTCGTTATTCAAACCTAAATTGTTTCTATGCTGATGGTGGATACTTCTCTAATTTCAAGTGGAGCAGAATCAACAAGTCAAAGGCTTTGCTTTCCTAAAGCATGAAAAGTTCTACTGTGAATACACTGTGTGATTGTAAGAAAACTTTTTGTTCCATTTTGTCTTCAAAATTCATCCTAGTTAGTGACTTTAATAAGGTCCTTACTATGTACCAACTACTTTCCTTTCCCCTCAAAACTAAATAGGAAGACAGCATGGAGCTGGATTAGATGATGCCGAAAGAAGCTTCCAGCTCTCACATACAGGCATGGATGAGTCATTCCTAGATTTAACAGTCAAAAGCAGTTTCCTTACCATGCCATCTAATTTATTTTAGCAGCTTTCCAAGGGGCGAGCCAATCCCTCAATGGGACCAGTCCCAGAAGTGGAATATTATGGTGACTTCCCCCGCTGTCTTTTGTATCTGGATTCAATCTCCCTTTGGCCACAACAACTTCTGGGATCCTACTTGTTCTCTAGACTTGGCATCTGCTTAGGAGGCAATTGCAGGGAGGGGAGATGTATGACTCCTCTGTTCTTGTACTACTGTGAACTCAAAACTGCAAATCTGAGCCACCTCTGCAGAGGGATGGCAGCTGAATCAGGAAGAGATGTCCAGAAATGTCCCAGGCCAATCCATTACTTCTCAAAATAGAATAGCCTTGATGATATTCATGTCTTCATTCTTGGAAGAATGTCTATCTTTTGGCTACCTGAAATGGCGCAATGGAGACGTCAGGGCTTCCAAGGACTTTTCCTCTTCAGGGAAGCTAGCTTCGTCCCTGAGATCATACGAGGAGGAAGAGTGTGCTTGTTTGGAAAATCAGTCTGCTTGTTCCTGTGATTCTTCTTCCACATAATCAGGGAAATCATCCCAAAGCCAAATATGAACATGTTATAATTCTGCTTCCCTCCTTGGGTGATTATCCAACAATATTCAGGATCTTTTGCAAGCTCCCCCTTCTTATAACTCTAGTCCTCTTTCTCAGAAGTCTAAGTTATTCCCAACTGCTGGGCTCTGCCATGAACTTGAGTGTCTCTCTCTAAACACTCTGTCTTCTCCCTATAATGCCCCATTCCCTCATTTCTTCACCTGGATAGTGTTCCTAATCCTTCAAGGTTTCCCATGGATATAATTTTATAAGTGATGTGTAAAATTTCTAAAATTATTGTTTTTATAAATTTTATAATTTCTTTTGTGTACAGGTGAAGTCTTTGAGGACAAGGGCCACAATGTTTTCTCAGAGTCTTTTCCCTCAGTGAACAGTACAGAGTGGTCATCAACATTTGGTACTGAATAAGAGGATGAATAAATGGATACCAGTCACACACGTGTATGGGTAATACTCATGACTAACCGAGTGCAGACCTTCAAACTGCAGATTTGGCTTCTTCAGCCCTCTCACTGTAAAGGTGAGGCCATATGTAGGTAGCATACTTGCAAACACAATACTATTCGGCAGCAGCTGAATGATTAAATAGTCTCTGGTTTAATATGCTCAATGGAGTGGTAAATAGCTATAACAATATTTATAAAGATATTATTTATCCAATTTCCTGGAAAATGTGTATAGTCTAATGTGAAATAAAAACTTTCATATTCAAAACTGAATTTACATTAATATATTATTGCTACTCAATTAAATTTTTGCAACAAAATATTATTAGCAGATAACTACAAGTAGTGAAATATAAGAAAACCACCCTTGTTTTTAGTTTTCCAATTCTCTACATATTGCAAATAAGCATGAGTTTCTCTTAGACTAGTAATTATAAAAGTACACAAATATACTTGTAGCCACGGAAGAAGGCTAGAGGAGAGAGATCCCCTCAACATGACTTGCCGAGGGTAGAGGTCCTTTACATGGTCACAGTGGTCACAGTGTATACACAGTAACTCTGAATTACACGACTGGCTTTATAATCACCATGAGGCTGTAAATGTCTTGAGGTTAGAAACCTTGCCAACCTCAAATGAAAATTCAAACCTTTTCCCCTACTTCTTGTACATGTTATGTGTTGTGGGATACACAAAGTTATTGATAATTTCTTGAATTCTAAGTCCATCTTCGATTCCCAATAAATATTTTGCTGTGTATGTAAATTGTAGGTGACTTAACAGCACATAAAACAAGTAAAAGCTCAACCATCTTAGAGAAGTATGGCTTGTTTATAAATAGTTTTATAAAGTGTGTTTACCTTAGTCATTTATTGATGAATGTATTAATTTATTTTATCTATGCATACAGCAAATAGTTCCTGAAGAATCTGGATGTTATCTAGTGCAAACACTAGACAATGACCATACAACAATCAAAAATCAAATCTGTTGCCATGGAATCAATTCTTTTGGTTGGTGATCTCAGGTGTGTCTGAGCAAAACTGTGCTCCATAGGGTTTCAGCACTTATTTTTTCAAAATTAGATGCTTAGACTTTTCTGCCATAGAAATATCTCTGGGTAAACACAAGCCTACAACATTTTTATTATCAGCCACTTGTAACCACTTGCACTATCTAAAGACACCCACTGACTACAGGAGGGGTAAGGTTAAGCAAATCAGACATGGTTTCTGTCCACGTGGAGCCTGAAGTCCAGTAGAGGCAATAGTCACTCAGCAAGTAGGTAAACAAAGAGATGGAGACTGTGACAAAATTGTTAAGGAATGTAAAAAATGAGCATAATGGGGTGGACACAGCTAGTTAAGACTGGAATGGTCATAAAAGATCTTTGTTAGAGATGCCATTTTCATTGGAGCCTGAAGGATGACACAAAGAAGAGTTGTAGAAGAATTTCAGGCAAAGCCTCAATGTATGTAAAGAACTTATGCAGGGAAAAAGCGGTGTGATCCTTACAGATCTAGAGGAGTCCCAGTAAGGAAAAGCAGTGAGAGAGGTAGCCAGACAGACAGGTCAGGGCTGGATTGTGAAAGATCCTGTAGATCATATTTAAAATATGCCTGAAAGCAATGGGAAGCAACGAGAGGATAGTGTGGCAATGCACGACAGGATCTGATTCACACTGTAAAAAAAAAATATTATAAATGATGAATGAAGAAATAAAAGCAAAGGTAAGAGCTAAAAAGCAATGCTGTAATGATGTAAGTAATATTCCTGTTTCACAGATTAGGAAATTGAGGTTATATTGTAAAATGGCATGTACGTTGCAACTTCTGCCACAGCCTAAAAACATGGACAAATTCTGATAGAACTATGAACTTAAGGCTAGAGCTGGTAAAAAAATCAGGGTCACTTTGTTCCTTGTCAAGGTAGCTTAGCTACACATTCAGAGTATAAAATGTATTTACGTTTGGTGCTGACTTTTTATGAGTATCTGCGTACACACACACACACACACACACACACACACCAAAATCAAAGGAGCATAAGATATAAACGCTGGGAAGGATCAGCTTCCTACAACGGAATTCTATGAGAGAGTCAAGGCTCAAAGCTCTAATGCCGCACTGCCCAATATTCATTGCCCAGGTTTAATTTAAGCAAAAGAAAAGGAAATAAATTTTAAAATTCAGTTACTCAGTAACACTAGCCACATCTTAAGTGTTCCAGAACCAAAGGTAGTTGGTGGCTACCATACTGGGCGGTGCAGATAATATGACATTTCCATTACTGCAGAAAATTCCACAGGACTGCACTATTCTGTGAGTTGCAGTCAACTCAGTGACAGACAACACCACCATAATAAATTAGCCTCTCTCTTATGCGCTTAAAACAATACTAGTTATATTAGTTGGTAAGCATCCTAATATTAGCTAGTCTGCATCCTTGGGAGAATTGAATAGTCACTCAAATCATTTTGTGTTTTGGGAATTGGAAGGGGAGAATTAGCTGAGGTTAGAAATATCTTTGGCCCAAAGACAGAAAAATTGAGACTGAAAAGGTAGAGGAAAAGGAGGAGTTCACAAGGGCTTCAGAACCAGGTCCCTTGATTCCCAGTTCAATGTTCTTTCCAATACACCGCAACCAATTGTTCAGATAACTGAAACCATCCAGTCAACACATGTTTGCAAGACTGATACAAATAAAGGAGTTAGAAAAACCAGGGTGGCCTTGAATTATTTATTCAGTTGCCCATGTGTGAGGACACAGGCTGTGGGAGGATCTGAATATGTTTTTTTAAGAAAAACCCTTGTATTCTCTCAGACCACAGATGTGAGGAACAGCAGGAGGACATGAGGATGGCCAGGGGCGAGAGGTTGGCATTGATGGATGTAGTGGGAAACGCTGGAGGTTTTGCAGGGGAAAGAGAATTTTCAAGTAGCTAAACAGCTCTGGAAAACTTTTTCCAAGATGGGAGTAAATACTTTCGGAATACAAAGCAAGTAATATGCACTGGTCCTAGGTTAGTTGTCATCTTGTTGAATTCTCTGCAAATGCCAGGTGGAGCTGGTAGGGTTAGCACCCTTTTAATGGAAGAAGACTCAGAGGATCAGAGAGGTGAGATGTGTTGTCCCACGTCTCCTAGAAGCTGAGAACCTAACATCAAAGCATGCATCCTTGGTACAAAACCAATTGTGAGAACAGCAACTCCATGTGCATGGGAGAGCAACATACATAAAAGGTAGTTCTTTACAACAATTTATTGAACTTGTGGATGGACTTCCTCCAGCCATAGACTATGGTCAATGTAGCTGTTAACTTTAATTATACATGTTTCTAAAATGTCAGCTTTAATTTAACATATGATAACTCCGTTATGAAATCGTAGACTGAACAGAATAGCTATTGTATGAGCCTCAAGTACCAACTGACTATAGGTTATTAAAAACATATTGATTGAGGCTAAGGGCACGATGTAATAGAGACATATCTCATTACACAACAATTAACCCTCCAATAGGTTTCCAACAATCAGATGGTATTTATTTAATGGACAAAAACTGCTTTATGAAATACAAATTGAATACATACACAGGATGCTTCATTTACAAAACTTCCATTTTTAGGTGGAACTGAGGCCAAGGCTTGACCAAAAGTCTGATACTTCTCATCGCCACAGAAAAAATAAATAAATCTACGGGCTGCTGGAAAGTCTGCTCTGAAGTGTCACATGAGGTTTCCCAAACCCAGCTCTGAGCTCCCAGCAAGGGCGGCTTGGGGCAGGGAGAAGGGGAGTTTCCACAGAGGGCCTGGGGAGTGCATTTCCTCCCGCCCCCTGTGATCAAATTCAGTCAGTTGCCAAAGGCAGGCTCTAAAAGCAGGGCTGATGGCAGTGTGAAGAATCAGATCCCAAGCATCCTGATGCAGGTTGAGTGATGGTATTTTTAGGCACACAAGCATGCACGCTTGCACTTGCATACAAATGTGTGCATGTGTGTGTAAACATGCAAAAAAGGAGAGTTTCTTGCTACCTTCCTATGGTTCTTTTGTGGAGAGCGAAAGTACTGTGGAACTCTGACTTTGGAAAGACTTAATGAGAGCACATGCCAGTCAGAGCCTGGCCCCCACTACTTCCTACGGACTCTTCTATCAGGGTCAAATCTATCGACCTCTTTCAACTCTAGTTTCTTCCTTATCAGGAAAATGAGGAAGATTAACCCCTTTTACAAAGTCATTAGAAAGATTAAATGAGACCCTACATATAAAGCATTTAAGATAGAATCCAGTACAGTGTAAAACATGATAAATGGCGACAACCACAATAACAGAGTAACACGAATTAATTATTACTGTTGTTAGTACTTTCACCGACACCCATACTGGATAAAGATTCCCAGGAAGAGCAGAAGGAGGTTGTAGTATACTAATCTTCCCTCAATTAAAGTTAAGTTACAAACCAGAGGCAAATGTTTTCATGGTTCATTCAAATCTTGTTCATTTAAAGCTGGGGCTTCTCAAGTACGACTGGTGCTGAGAAATACCAGGAGAGACACTTAACTTGGTTCTAAATGTAGAGCATGGAGCATCCTAAGTCCAGCTTTTCAAGGGATGTAAATAAGACTGAGAAAGGGAGAACAACATACCCCAGGTCACATAGCTGCTAGGTAAGCTAGGGTACAAACGAGGTAACTAGAGCCTCGTCTTACCTCTCCCCAATTCTAACTACGCTACTTTCAAACTACTGGGCTAAGGAAAAGACGCTTGCTATGTAAGTTGATACATGGTGTATGTATACACACGCATATATCCACGTATTAATATAAACACACAGAAGCATTTGCTGATGAACCATTTGCAATCTCAACTCCTGAGCTCATGAAGGCAAAACCAGATCTTTTATCCCAGATGCGATTTCTGTCAGTATGAGCTCTCAAGGTTTTAGTCATAAAGGAAAGCTAATCATTCACTCATTTAAAATAGGTTATCTGCATTGAAACAGATAAGGGATAGAACTGCTTAAAAGGGATATGTGATTAGGTATTATTGTCATGACAGGAGTCCAGAAGGAAGGCTGCATAGTGGAGTGAACGTGGTGGGGAGGGATTGTAAAACAATGAAAGACCTTTTTCTTTTCTTTTCAAAGTGAAGTGCAAACTTGGGGGAGGGTTGGGCAGGAGAAAAGTGCAACAATGAATGAAAGTCTCTATAAATTTTCATTAAAATTAATAATAATAATCATTAAAAAAGAAAAACAAAAATTTTTAAAAAATAAAATAGGTTATTGCTGGTTACTCAATCATTCACTTATTCCATGACCCAGAATTTATCAAATACCATACTAAGAAGTGAGAACACCAGTTGAACAAATATGAGAACAAGGAGCACAACAGAATCTACTTCCAAGGCTGCTTCCTTCCAAATGTCCCTCTTCCTGGCAGGAGAATAAGAAAGGGGTCCATACTTCCCAGACCACACACTCACCTTTCAAAGAAGTGGCCATCGATGGGCGGAAACCACTCAATTGTCACTGAGTCCGCTGTGTGGCCCACGATCTGGGGGGCCAGGGCGACAGGCGCTGGCTTCCTGGAAGGCTGCCAGCTCTGGTACACTAGGTCCAGGTAACAGTGCATTCTGGCAACTTGATTGGGCGTGAAGGAGTCAGTACAGTCGTCATCTGCAAGCAGGCAGAGGGAGAGATAAGAACCAGGCTGCAAGGGCAAGCAGGCAAAAGAATCATCGTGGAGTTTCCACAGTGTCTACAGAGCCAGCACCCCCACCGCCCCACCCTTGCTATCTCAGGCCTGGCCTCTTCCCATGCTCAAGAGGTAATGGTCTGTGAACAAATTAGTGTAGTCATCACTTCTGGAGACAGGTGAGATGGAGGAGGAAGTGGAGGGGGTGGGACCAAAAAAGTGAGGCTGAAAACCAGGCAGATGAAATGCAAAAGGACAAATTGCCTTCTATGTCCCAAGACCAGTGGTCAATACATCACTCATTCTCTTATTTCTTTCCTACTTTATTCCAAGTTATTCACTTACTTATGTTTTTATCAATCATTCATTTATACAGTAACTTGTTCTCTCATCCATTCTTATATGTTTTTTTCACCCACTAATTCATCAAATCTGCTCTACATTGATGCATTATTGAATCGTCAAATGAATCATCTGAGCATCTACAAAATATTCTGTTCTCTGTCAAAGGGCTTTGATAATTGAAATTTACACGATTCCTTCTTTAAAGCAGCTACTAGTCTCGTCATAGAATTGCTTGCCATCCAATGCCTCCTGGCAACCATATGGATAACAGAATAAAATCCTGCCTTGCCCAGCGCCTTCTTCACCACTGTGAGTATGTTTGAACACACTGCAGTCACTCTGTCAATCCATCTTACGATCTTCCTCTTTTTTTGTGTGTGGACCCTCTACCAAGAATGATGTCCTTTTCCTGGGAAAGGTCCCCCTAATAACATGTCCAAAGGATATGGTACAAAATCTCTCCATCTTTGTTTCTAAGGAACAGTCAGTGTGAACGCCTTTCCAGAGAGAATCACTCATTCATCTTAAAGAGTTAAGACGAGTTTATGGCATGAGTAAAGATTCTCATAAGGCTGCTGAAGTTTGTGAGGCCGACCACAGCTGTGTGCAAGGAGGTAACTTGTGGTGGAAGAATGATTAACAAGAAGGGCTTCCAGTGGAGGAAATATCTGAGGTAAACCAGACTGCATGGTTAAAATGGACAAAATTTGTTGAGGGATTACAGGAAAGACAATCTGCCGGAACGCAAAGGCATGCTCTCCTATGAAAACAGTGCTTGCCAGAGAGTCAAGGTCATAGAAACACTCCGTCTCAAAGATGGAAGGGGGAGAGAAATAATATCCCCTGCACAGAACTATTAGTGTGAGGATTCTGCTATAGGTAACATTTAACGAGCGCTTACTAGAAAATAGATGTGCTGCGCTTTGTTTTGGACACTTTTAAACTTTTCATTACTTTGGGAGTCAATACGACCATTTTCTTCACTTTATAGATAAGGAGAGTGAAGTGGAGAGAGGACAAGCAATTCCTTCCAAGATCACAGAGCAGGAGCCAGTCTGCAGTTCAAACCTAGGCAGTCCTGATTCCAAGACTGCACTTCTAAGCAGGAGAATTTTTTCAAGCTGAAAAGAGACTTCACACAGTTAAAGCCTCCTGCAGGTGCCTGAAAAATACAGGCTGAACTTGAGTCTGAGGGGCCTGGAATGCAATCTCTAAGATTTCATAATTAAAACATGTTCTCAGGAGGGACAAGTCCCTGAAGAGGGCGTTAAAAAAAAAAAAAAGCACTCTATGAAACAGAGGAAGACTTCAATGAAATGGATTGACAGAGTGACTCCAACAATGGGGTTAAGCACAAAGGAGACTATGTGAGTGGTGCAGGATCTGTCACATTTTAGGTCTGGGTTCACAGTAACTCTACAAGTCAGAGTCAACACATTAGCACTTAACAACAGCAGTAATAATAACCTTCAATTCCACTTTCTCTCTTGCAAGACTCCGACTGAAGATTGTAGCCCAAGACTTTGGCTCAAGGGAAGGATCTCACTCATTTTTTTCCACCCCCCTCTCTCTCTAGTAGCTTTATTCAACTGCCCCAGGGGCAGAGCAAGGTACTGTTTTTGCTTGGTTTCCAAAAACACCACTTCCCAGAGGTGTCCGCCTGGCCACAGCTTCTGCAGCTGGGCCTCAGACGGAGGAGCACAGGGCTGTCCAGTTCTGAAAATAAACTCACCACTGGGAATCACTCTCGTTATCAAACAAACAGAAAATAAACTTGGGCAGGTGTGAGGCATTTGGATGTGGCCTTGAGAATCTAGCTTACGGAAGAGACAGGGGTGCAATAGAGTTGCACACAGAAGCTGCATCTGATTTCCTCAGTCATTGTGGTCTTCATGATCGTAGGGATGTCTTTAATATATGTGGAGGTAGCAGAACAGCTTAATCACGTACATCTCTCTCAAGCCTGTATTCCACTACAAAACACTTTGAAACCTAACATTCTATGGCTTTTGTTGCCTGAAGAATGGACATGAACTTTAAGTTGCTCATAGTCTGAGAAGGACCGACCACTCCATTTGGCCCTTTTGTCTTTTTTTGTCTCTAAACTTTGCATATCATCCTAAAATCCTCAGAAAAGGTATCAAATAGAGTAGATGCAGAAGAGAGGCATGGTGTCCAACAAAGCTGGATGACGGCTGGCTGGTTCGATTAGTGCATGCAGGATCTAGGGTGAAAACAGGGAAGGTATTTCATATCTTCAGTGACTTCAGGCACTAAAGACAATGCCCGATCTATGCTACGCACTCGATAAAAAAGCTTGCTGTCTTGTAATTGAGAATATTTTGTGTATGCATACATCTCTGTGTGTTTCAGTACTGGAAAAAGGAAAACAAAACCCCAAGAATGCAAACTATGCATTTTCTCTGATCTAGTAATTCCACATTTAGGGTTTCAACTGATAATACTAACAGACAAGCATAAAAAAAATACATGTACAGAGATGTTTATGGGATCACTGTATTTCTAGTAGTAAAAATAGTATAAACATCATTTCCATCTCTTAATAATGTAAAGCTTATGTACTTAAAAGCACAGTCATAGACTAGACTATTAAGCAGATGTTGTTGTTGTTGTTATTGCTATGTGCCATCGAGTCGTTTGCGACTCATAGTGACCCTATGTACAAGAGCCCTAAACACCATTCTATCCTGTGCCAACCTCGCTGTCTCAAACACATTCATTCCCACCACTCCACTCACAGAATCGATCCATGTCATCGAGGGTCTTCCTCTCCTGCACCGTCCCTCCACTTTCCCAAACATGATGT